AGTGGGCTGTTAAAAAAGAGAAGCTGGAAAGTCTTAGACCTATTTGAGCATTTACCTTTAGTTTATCATTAATATAGCTAAAAACAAGTGTGCTAAGAAAATAGATAATGTAAAAGGAAGAACTTGAAATTAATAATACAAAAGGAAGCACATACCTTTTTTTAGGAATAAAAGTCAGCAAACATTCTTGTATTGTTTTGGCAGTAATATTTTATTCAAACTATCAATGTGATATTAAAAATGACTCCTTGCAAACAAACAAACAAACAAAAAAATGACTCCTTGGAGAAACCTTTCACAGACAGACCCTTCCCCTCACAGCATCTTCTGCAGACCTCTATTATAGTCTTTAAAACACTTTATGTAATTGTTTACAGGCTGTTTCATGTTTGTGAAGGCAGGGGCTTTATCTCATCATCGCTTTACCCCCGGGGCCCCCTAGCACATTACTTGGCACATGTGTGGCCTTAAATATTGATGATGAAAATAAGTTAATTTATGCTTATTTTTAGTAGTCTTTAAACAAATTTTAATTTCAAACCTTATATGGGTTGACCAAGATTTTGTGGAAAGTGATTTTTTTAGTGTAAGATTAATAAGTAAAAAAATTATATGGTGATTATTGGGCCACCATTTTCAGGAAGAACCATTTCCAGCATGAAATAAGATTTGCCTCCAAACTCAAAAACACAGAAGGAAGTAATAGAAGAGAAATTGAGTAAAAGTTTTCATTCAATAACTTTATCAAATTCTGGGAATAATTGAGAGATATGAATATTAACTGTCAAGATTTTCTTAAACTGCAATTGCTGACTATTCTTATTTTAAGTTTCAAAGCTAAGACAACAAAGCAATTAAGCCATATCTATGGTGGTTACTTTTAGCTTGTTAAACTGCACACTGAATAAAGACCTCTGAAATCTTATGAAATGAAAATAAAGTATTTTTGTGCAAATATATCTTTATAATTACATTGATACTCCATATTCATTTCAGTGGAATAGAGAATAGCCCATTAATTTCATAGAAAATCACATGGCATAGAAATCTGCCCAAGCAGAGATTCAGAGAGTTTTAACAAAATGGTATTTGTCATTGCTCTTAGATATTATGATCAATTTTTCTTAAATTCTGAAAGTAACTGGAAAGAAAATTTATAGAGTTATAACATTTTTACCAAAAATTCTGTGATTATGGGAGAACTTTTAAAGCATTAAGGGTTTAACTTTGTTTGAAATAGAAATCAGAATTCACCTGCTGAAGAAAATCAGTTTCTGAATTTATTTAATATAAAACTCATTCTGATGTTTATAATAAAAGCAACTACTGCTTTCTCAAGTTTGGGGAAACTGCCTCTATTCTCTCTGGTAAGGGAATAAGCAGACAATTTGGGACATTTCTATATAATTTTCTGAAGACAATAATGTCAAGTAGAAATTGGACTTGAATCGTGCAACATCAATTTTTTAAACCTACTGCCCTAATTTTACCAGCATATTTAAATAATAATAGCTATTCACTAATTACTTATTGTTATATAAAAGTAAATTGGGTATGCTACCTAGCATTCTTAAACTGCTTTAATGAAATATTTTATTTTTTATATTTTTAATTGAAGTATAGTTAACTTACAGTATTATATTAGTTTCAGGTGTACAGCATAGTGATTCAGTATTTTTACAGATTATATTCCATTAAAAGTTATTACAAGATAATGGCTATAATTCCTGTGCTATATAAGATATCCTTGTTGTTCTTCTGTTTTATACATAGGGGTATGTATCTCTTAAATCTCAAATCTCTACCTTGCCCTTCCCCCCTTCCCTCTCCCCTCTGGTAACCACTAGTTTGTTTTCTATATCTGTGAGTCTGTCTCTGTTTTGTTATATATTCATTTGTATTATTTTTTAGATTCTACATATAAGTGATAACATACAGTATTTATCTTTCTTTGACTTATTTCACTGAGCATAATATTCTCTCAGTCCATTCACATTGCTACAAATGGCAGTATTTCATTCTTCTTTATGGCCGAGTAATATCCGATTGTGTATATATATATATGTGTGTGTGTGTGTGTATATATATATATGTATGTATGTATATATATATATATACCACATCTTCTTTATCCATTTATCTGTTGCTGGACACTTAGGGTGCTTCCATAGCTTGGCTACTGTAAGTAGTGCTGCTTTGAACATTGGGGTGCATGTATCTTTTCAAATTAGTGTTCTTGTGTTTTCTGGATGTATACCAGGAGTGGAATTGCTGGATCATATTATAGTTCTATTTTTAGTTTTTTGAGGAACCTCCATACTGTTTTCCATAGTGGCTACACCAACTGCATTCCCACCGGTTCTTTTTCTCCACATCCTCTCCAACATTTGACATTTGTAGACTTTTTGATGATGGCCATTCTGACTGGTGTGAAGTGATACCTCAGTGTAGTTTTGATTTGCATTTCTCTAATAATTAGTGATGTTGAGCATCTTTTCACCTGCCTCTTGGCCATCTGTATGTCTTCTTTGGAAAAATGTCTATTCCGGTGTTCTACCCATTTGATAGGGTTGTTTTCTTTTCTTTTCTTTTCTTTTTTTCATATGGAGTTGTATGAGCTGTTTACATGTTTTGGAGATATTAACCCCCATCGGTCATATCATTTGCAAATATCTTATCCCATTCAGTAGGTTGTCTCTTTATTTTGCAGATGTCTTCCTTAGCTGTGCAAAAGCTTTTAAGTTTAATTAGGCTATTTGTTTATTTTTGCTTTAATTTCTTTTGCCTTAAGAAACAAAGATGCAAAGCAATCTACAGATTTAATGCACTCCTTATCAAAATACCCATGACATTTTTCACAGAACTAGAACAAATAATCCTAAAATTCATATGGAACCACAAAATACCCCAAATTGCCAAAGCAACCTTGGAAAAAAAAGAACGAAGCTGGAGGTACCACCCTCCCAGACTTCAAAATATACTACAAAACCACAGTAATCAAAACAGCATGGCACTGGCACAAAGATGGACACATAGATCAATGGATCAGAATAAAGAGCCCAGAAATAAATCCATGCACCCATGGTCAATTAATCTATGACAAAGGAGTCAAGAATATACAATGGAGAGGAGAAGAGGAGACAGTCTCTTCAATAAGCTGGGAAAACTGGACAGCTACATGTAAAACAATGAGATTAGAACATGCCCTCACACTATATACAAAAATAAACTCAAAATAGATTAAAGACCTAAATGTAAAACCTGAAACCATAAAACTCCTAGATGAGAACATAGGCAGAACACTCTTTGACATTGAAATATTTATTTTAAAACATGTTGATTGTGTACATGACGTTAGGAATAAAGAGCCAAGTGTTTATCAGTACTTGAATGGATAGATTATTTGGGTATATTCATAATATTAAACAGTAGTGAAAATGAGAGAATTCCAGCTATAAACGACATGGATGAATCTCATAGGCAGTGATGAACGAAAGAAACAAGACACAAAGAATGCCTGCCATATGAGTCCATTTATATAAAGTCCAAAAATAGTCAATAACTCTGTTATTTAGGGATCCATACACAAGTGTTTAACAAGAAAAGCAAGGAAAAAGTCAGGTTAGTGGTTACCTCTAATAGGGAGATGGAGTTATTATTGAGGATGGACAAATGGGGTGCTTCTGGCATGCTGGCAGTTTTTCTTTCTTGACAAAGATGGTAATGTGGGGGGTTGCTTTATAATTTTTAAGTTTTTTTAAAATATTTTTATTTATGTATTTACTTGGCTGTGCCTGGTCTCAGTTGCAGCATGTGAACTCTTAGTTGCAGCATGTGGGATCTAGTTCCCTGACGAGGGATCGAACCCAAGCCCCTTGCATTGGGAGTGCGGAGTCTTAGCCACTGGACCACCAGGGAAGTCCCTATAATTATTTTTAAATTGTACATATGCAGTTTCTCTATATAAGATAAATCTCACAATTAAAAACAATGAATAGCCCTTAAATGGCTACCCAGACCACATTATCTTCAGTTCTTATTTCTACTAAAAAATACTTTTGCATAACTTAGTTGCATTATTGAATATTGACAGTGCATCAGGCTCTGCTTTTTATTGAGGTTTACTTTCATTTAAAGACAAGGAGGGACTTCCCTGGTGGCACAGTGGTTAAGAATCCGCCTGCCAATTCAGGGGACACCATTTCGAGCCCTGGTCCAGAAAGATCCCACATGCCACGGAGCAGCTAAGCCCGTGGGCCATAACTACTGAGCCTGGACTCTGGAGCCCGTGAGCCACAGCTACTGAAGCCCATGCTCCTAGAGCCTGTGTTCCGCCTGTTCGCGCCTGTACTTTATCTGTTTAAATGTCTGTCTGTACAAAAACACTAAAATCCTGGAGTGTGGAAACTTGGTCACATTATCTTTGTTTTCTAAGGTCCTAGTACCATGTCAGCACCTAACGAAGAGTTTAAAGTTCTATGAATAAATAAATGAGTGGTGTCACTTGAATGATTTCATTTGATAAAGCTGTCTCCACATGAATTTAGAAGGAAAACTAGCTTTTACTTTTCCCTTTTCCTTTGGCCATTGATTATTTTTTAAACCTTTTCATTGTATTAAAATATAGACACAAAAGGCCATGGAACACTATAGTTAGAATTATTGTTAAAGTTATTATAAGGCAAATACCCTTTTAACCACCATTCAGACCAAGAAAAAGAACTTTGCCCGCCTTCCCTCCACAGGTTCTACCTCTATCCCTTTCTTTTTTTACACTTTATCTGTTAATGAACCTAAGCTATTTCACCTCTAGAATTTCTCCCAGGCCAGAGTTTGCCGATTGCACACACGGTGCAGTTCAACAGGTTTCTCTGTTCCCTGTCCTGTGGGTTCTGTGCTAATACTTGTGTTGAAGATGCAGATTGTTTCACCTTGATTGATATGTTAGGGAGGGAATGACATGATGAATCTCACCCCTGCTTTAATGCACTTCCCTCTAGGAGAACCACCAGGCGAATGTAGGAAACCGCCTCTGCTGAACTGAGCTAGCTACCCAGGAACACACACACCTCAGACGTGACCAGCCACATCCGTAACCACGTATGAGCTGCGTCCACCCACATCTGGAGTTACAGCTTCCCTCTGGCTGCAGATAATGCTCCTTCCGCCACCTCAAGGTCACTCACAAGCTGCAGCTCTTCCCATGCCACCTCCACAGATGTCAAGGAGTTTTCAGGGTAAAGTGCCTTATTTATTATGGTTCTGATGTATTTCTCGACCACATAATATATATAAAATTGTGTTACTGTTTTTATTAGGTTATTAACTTACTTATTAATGTGTCACCGAGGAAGTTTTTTTACCCCAGTTTTGCCATAAGTCCTGTGGTTTTCATTTCATGATTTTACATAGCACAGATTTTTAAGAACACATTAAAGCAGAACTGATTGCATTTCTCGCAGATTGGAAGCTAGGTCCAACAGCTTCATCAGACTCTTGTTCTATCCCTTTGGTAGTGTGTCCTCTCAACAGAAGGCTCATACTGTCTGATTGTCTCTGTGTTTGTGAAGTTAGCAGACGCTGATGCAGCCAATGCCTACATCCATTATTTCCCTGGAGGCAGCGAAATGGTGACATTCTAATTTTGTTTTTCCTTTTCATTCTTAATCGGAATACTTTTATAACACGATGTCTCCCCTTATCTACAGTTTGGTATAGTTCCTATAGGAAAGGCAAGATAAATGCTTGATTCTTTACCTATATTTATCAGTTTTCAAGATAATGAATTCATTTCCTATCATTCCCCCAGAGGTGAGCAAGTAGGTTTTATTTTATAATATCATTATGAACTCATGGATTTAAAACATTTGTTGGGTTTCAATCAACTGTAATTACTATTCAAATTATTTCATCTTTGGCCAGTGAGAGACTCTTCAAATTGGCTCCTGAGCCCTTTGCCATGACCCCAGTAAATCTTTAATAGCACTCCTGGCTATCTGATGCCATGATAGCATGACTGAGGTTCCAGGCTCATTTCAAAATTGCCTGTCTCAGAACTGGAATCTGCCATTTGTCCCAGAGGCCCTGGTTTCTTTAACCAAGAAATGACATTTCAAAACAACAATCTAAATTCCAGGAGTCTCTGTCATTACTCGGCTGGTCATTGTTTGCAGATGAATTCCATGGGCAGAACTATAGATACAGGTATAGATCAGATATCAGATATAGATATAGATTAGAAATATAGATATTTCTAATTCAAATTCAGGACTATGGAATATTTTACTTATTAACCTCTGTCGTATTTCATCTGTATCTCCTTTCTTCCACATTGAAGATTCCAGTTCTCAAGGACACAGGAAATGATGAAATTAGAAATTCCCGTAATTACTTACTTGTTTTTTCCTACATTATATATATAACAATCTCAAAATAATATTAATAATACCATCACCAGTAAAATTTACTGAAAATAGTTTAAAATTTTGCATATATTCTCCCCATTTCTTTCATTTAAAATAAATTGTTAGACTAAGCATATAGTCATTGTATACCATACTCTCACCCTTTTAATCCTCATTAAATTTTAGCTTTATAAGTAACTATATGATTAATGCTCACCACCAGTTCTTCTTTCAGGGTCCCTCTTGTAATTTGGCTGAATGAAACTCATGCTACAGTCACTGATTCCTCAGGAAGGACTCATGACAACACTATTCCCTAAAGTTTTACATGTTGATAACTCTGTGTGCCCTTTATAATTCAAATTCAGTTTGACTGGATACAAAGTCCCCAGTTCGCTTTTCATTTCCTTGAGCATCCTAAATATATTACTGTATTTTCTTCTGGCATAAGAGTATGATGATAATGTACTTTTCTTCCCCTTATAAATCACTTGCTGTGACTCACTACCTGCCCAAAGAATTTTCTTCTTTTTCTTTAATATCTAATAACGTTAGTAAAATATGTCTGGTGTTGGTTGTTCTGGTTCAGTATTGTCCGGTACCTGTGTGTTCTTTCAGTAAGTAGTTTCAAGTTTTTAAGCAGATATTTTTACTTGAGGTATAAACATGCAGTAAAATGCATATGTCTTAGATGTTCACTTTGATGCATTTTGACAGTTGGGTATAGTTGTGTAATCACCACCCAAAACAAAATATAGAATATCAAATCCTTTTTTATTTCAGGAAAGTTTTCTTTAATTATAATTCTTAGTGTTTGTTCCGTTCCCTTCCATTGGTTTAATTCCTTAGGAATACTTATCATCTGTTTGCTGGATCTTCTCTTTCTATCTTTAGTATTTATCACTTTCTTGTAAATCCTTTTTAGCTTTCTTCATCTCTTTTTGGTTTAAAAAAAATTTCCTTCTTCTGCCTTCTACTTCTCTTATTTTTTTATTTTTGGGCTATGCCACATAGCATGTAGGATCTTAGTTCCTTAACCGAGGATTGAACCCATGCCCCCAGCATTGGAAGGGCAGAGTCTTAACCACTGGACTGCCTATTTGGTCTTGTGTTCCTTCTAATTTGTTCATTTCTGAAATTTTCTTTTATTGTTAATTCTTTTCTCTAGTTCTGTAACCTCATGTCTAAAGCTTCCTCATTTTGATTTATGAGTTCTTTCCTGTCTTATATCATTGTCTTCATGTCTTTTAGCTCGTTTTGAAATTGTTACAGTTTTGCTCTGTTCTGTGAGCCTTCTTTCTAGGGTACTTTCATTATCTGTAGCGATGTTACTGTGCTCTTTTTTTTTTTTTTCTTAAATAATCATGAAAATTTCTGCTACTTTTTAATGCAACTTTAGTTTTATGTAAAATTAGTATTCCTCAATGTTTAGAAGTAGGTGTGGCTTTAGAAGGAAGGTAGTTTTCCTAACTTCACAAAGTTCCCTCTTCTGCTATTTTCATGTGTTGTTCAGCTGTGTGGCAACTTGCTTTCTGAGATTTCCTGACTCTGTTGCCTTTCCCTCTTTATCACTGTTGTCCCGATACCTGCATAATTTTTATTCCATTCCCAGCACTTCTTCCTTCCTGAAAGAGAGGCCTTTCAGATCGGTTTTGAGAGTTCGCAGAGGTTAGACTGCTCCAGCCTCCTCAAGCCTTATAAGGGGCTCCGTGCACTCAACTGCTATTGCCTATTGTGGAGTTTTATATTCTCAGCTCTGTCAGATGCCCTGCTTTCTCTCACATACATGCTGATACCATGCAGATTTTGTGGCTGTTGGTAGTTTGTCCTTACCTGTTTATATTTGGAATTCATGTAGATACCTTGTCACCTAGTTTTGTTGTGTTATCCATGGGTCTTTAGTTTTCCTATCTAATTTTTTTGGTCTGTATTTATGTTGGGATTTCAAAAAATTAAAGAACTATGCCACCACCACTATCATCTTTCCAGAATCCCCAACAGCAGTCTTAGTAGGATGATTATCAAGGTACCAATTCTAAGTGTGAGCATGGCAAAGTACAAGGCTTAAAAATATAAATTCCCTTCTGCCCCTACAATCCTAATTCTAGAAACTTATCCTAAAGAAATAACATAATTAGGCAAGTGAAAAATTTTATGTACAAAGCTGTACTGAACTGGACTGGGATGCCTTCCCACCTACCCTATTTTAAATTCCCACTTTTAGTATGTGTACTTGTAGTATATTACCCCAAACACTATCTAATTTGGGGTTGTGAAATCATCCAGTCCTGTTAAATTTGAATAATCAATTAAAATGTGACTGACAAAATTTAAAGATACATACCTTCAAATGTTGGTCCATAAATTGACTCTCCACCATCTCCTTTTCCAGCAACTATATCTGAGAAACAGCAATAAATAAACATTAACATTCTGAGACTAAAAAAGAAAATACAGTAATGGCAGGGAAAGAATGCTTTATGATTCCACTTATAACAATAACTAGAGTAAGTTACCTAATTGTTTAATATCTATACCATGAAAATATTTCTATAATGATTTCACTTGTATTTTGTAAGTAGTTTTACATTTATGATCCCATTTTTTCCCCTCATAACTCTGAAATAAGTTAAATTTAATGCAAAACCTTTGAAATGATGAAGTATTAAATTATAATTGTGGTCACGATTTAAAGAGTGTGTGTTCATATAAATTCTGCTTATTTCACAAGTTATTCCATGATACATCTTGCTTTTCAGAAAAATGGAAAGATTAAGCTGAGAGGATGAAATAGGAACAGTAAGGTCTTTTTAACGCAAGAATAAAAATAGATACTCTAAAAAGAATTAATGTTCAAATTTTTATTCCTTGCCCTATGGTGATATAACTCATGTATCTGGTATTTTAGAAAAGAAGTTCCTTCGTAATATAATGAGGTTTTTTAAAAATGATATTTATAGGACTTGTTTCACATGATATGCATTATATGCATACATTGGCTTAGGCAATGATCCTACTATAAAAATCCTCCATGCACAAGTTATGTTATCAATTCACAGCTACCAGGGAAGCAAAGCTAGCTTTAATGAAACTAGAGGTCTCTGAGGTCTGTGTTTTCCCCATCACCCCCTTTACTTCCTTGAGCTCTGTAGACCACCCTCCTTGAATAGTGTGCAATAAATAACTGTTGAAGGACTGTGCCATTTAAACTCAATATGAGTACTTTATAATAAAAGAGTCTGTGCTATTTTAAAGAAATCTGATGCAAGCATGGGGAGAGAATTTATGCAGGACAGGGGCATATAGCATTTAAATTATACTATTCATAAAGCTGGTTCAGAAGTTAACTGATAAACCTTAAGTCTCCAACTACTCTGCCTGATACTTCTGCCCCCACCCTCCCACTCACCCCCAGCCTATGGCTATTCTCAGGAGCCTGCTGCAGTAGCCCCAGGCTAAATCCAGATGTGTGGAACTTGAATGTCCTCTAGCACCAGTTCCTTCAGCTCAGGCAAATCTGCCCAGGTGATTCCCCTCCCTTGCCAACTTATGTAAATACCAGTGACACTCCCTTGCCCTCTGTCTCTAACACCTGCCATTACTCTTGCCCTTTGCTTTAGATCTCCCAGGTGAATATTTTATATTGACACCATTTCAATCAGTATTTAATATTTTTTGTGTCCATAACCCACCCCCTTGAATTCAGCTTTGGATATCTAATATTTCTATACTTCTGGCAACAAATTCAGCAATGCAGAATAGTGGTTAAAAGTAAACTTCAAAGTCAGATGATTTTGATTTCAATCTTGATGTTGGTTACCTTTTCCAAAACT